GACGAGATTGTATTAGGAAATATGCCAAAACTACACAAAAGAAGGTTCCTGTATACACTATAATGAAAGGAAAAAAGTACACTAGCTCAAATTCTTCATTGCTTTCCCTGAATTTGGTTTTTGTTTACAATAATTATATTTTTCACTGAACAAAGGAGACCTGTACTCTAGAGAGTATATTTTCATGTTTAATTTTTGTCTTTTCAGCAACTTTGTGTTATTAGTAAATAAGTTTGTCAATAGGGAGACAGAAATAACGGCATAATACAGTAAGACTGCTAATACTATTATGTTTGTATTTACTTGTTACCTTGTGAAAACACTTTTGAAAAATGTGAAGCTTTTGAGAAGCAGGTAAGATTAAAACTATGATCTTTATTAACAGCAAAGAAAGATTCAGAGACTTCAATTAGTAAGAGGTGATGAGGGCTAGAAGGATCATTCCTATCACTCCACTCTTTGCTCTTTTCCAGCATGACACAGCTTCTGACAACTGTTTGTCCTTAGTGCATTGCATGGCAAGGAGTGTGTGGGGCCACAATTAGTATTTATTAAACAACCAAATTATAAAATATTCAGGATAGAGACACAAAATATGTAGAATTAAAAACTCTTTTAAATCTGTCAAATTTATATCCTGGATTAGGATAATTAACTGATGATTTCAATGACTTCCCTTCTAATGGGTGCAGTGACGAGAGCCAGGTCAGCACGGTGGCTGTCTTCAGGGACTCTGGAGTTCCAGTGATGATATGTCCTGGCTTTGTGATCTGGAAATTGTTACTCAAGCCTTTTTGTACTTCATTTCTCCATAAATGAAAGGAAATCAGATCAAATGAGAAAAAGTCAAATTCTTACCATAGCCACTGGCAAAGAGACAAATGTAATGAACATTATCTAACATTATTGTTGAGGTCATCATCACCATCATCATCATTATGACTCTATTAAGGCTGGGTGATAGCTAAGGTTTTATAGTCCTTTTAGTTAAATCAAATCCCAGGCACTAGTGAGTCCCCTGTCCTTACTCTGTTTTATGCAGTAAAGTGATTGGATTAAATGATCTCCAAGATGCCTCCTGCTTACAAATCCCATATTCTTTATAGTAGAGCTTTAACATAAAATGTTCTTCAGTGCAAATGCTCCAGGATCTTAACTTTGACGTAATAAATATTATTTAGTGAAGCCTTTTACCCAAAAGTAAAATTGAGAAGCACTCATATATTAAACAACACTTAATAGTATTTAGGGGTTTTAATTAAAATCTCCTGAAAACCAGGTTAATATAGTAGAATTCAACATACCTAACATTAGATAGATAGTTGTAAGTACTCTGTAACTTCCAATATCCCCTAAGTCACTGTTGCTCAAAATGTCATCTGCAGATCAGTAGCATTAGCATCATCTGGGAACTTGTTAGAAATACAAATCCTTATTTGGGACCTCATTTCAAACCTGCTGTGTTAGAGAATGCAGGTGGGGTGCAGCAATCTGTCTATGAATAGGCCTGCCCAGTGATGTTGAGGATGCTAAAGATTGAGAGCCACTGATGTCAATGAAGGATGGAAAAACAAGTTCTGCCTCCAAAAAACATTTACTGGAGCACATCAAACTGAAATTGAATCCGGCCTCAGAAGACATCTAAGAGAAAAGTCTGCTGCAAATAATTAAAAGTCAAGTAACCAATCAACTGACTAAAAACGAGGCTAGGAAGTCATTCTTGATTTTTCACTCTACAGAAATAAGGTATAAGAAGGTTAAAGAAAAGTTTTAGAGAATACCAGTGCAATAATTCTAGCAGTAAATTTTTCCCAGTAAAAATATATAAAGTTCCACCTTTCTGCTTAGTACAGAGAACTAGTTTCTTCATGCTGTACATTATTTGAAAGAAATGAACAAATTGTTGCTCTTTTCATGTTTTTTATAGTAAATTTTGAAAAACCCCTAGAAACTCAATACCCTGTTTTATGAATGTCTATATTAAAAGGAAAAAGAAAATATTCTCCATCTCAGTTGATGGTGTTAATTTTACAAGGTATAAATCCATGAACATTCTTTCTCTTTTCCTCCAAGGCCCTCCGTTGTTCTCTCATGCCCTCTATCTAACAGCATTGGGTATTTACCTGCTCCAGTCAATTTCACCTTGTAATTATTAGAGAATTATTTTTGTCATCATTTCCACTGTAACCACCTCTATTTACATTCCCATGTTTTGGTTTCCTGTCCTTCTTCCTAACTATAACTTAAGACTCTGTACAATAGGGATGATGTGTCCTTAGCACTCAGCACAAGGCCTGGCAGAACAATCATCCAAAAGTTGTTCCTTGGTTAATAGGAACAACTTGAGGATGCCTTTGAAAAGTGCATCTTCTTCCAGATGGTAAAACAAACAAACAAACAAAAAAAAAAAAGGGGAGGATGTATTTCTAGTACATACTTGTATTTCAGTGTCTTAGTAAGTATTCTAATAATTAGATTTGTATGATGTTTTTATTAGACTCTCTCTGTCGACCTTATTTTATAACATTACATTTACTTTATCCAGTTGGCTGCTATTTTTTCATGCTTTAACATCTGACTTTAATGACCACAACAAAATTAATGACAGTGTATTTCAGAGTCTTTGAGCATGGATATCTACACATCTGGAAATTATAATCATACACAAAATGTTTTCAACAATCACAAAAATTATCTAAAAAAATTACAGATTATGAGATAAAAGAGTTATATCAAGAACACATTGCTACCTACAACACATTGATTTATAGAAACTGTCATTCCAGAAGATGGTGGCCTTGCTTAAAAGAGGTATTACCTATAAAAATCACAGATACTCTGTCATGCTCTAGTGAACTATCTAAGCCCCATGGACATCTTTTATGTGCTAGTATGTGAACATTTCATATTGCTAAAACCTCATTTTCATTGTACAGCCCAGTATACCAGGAACTAAAAGGTAGATTGAAATTGCTCTTTCAAAATTATGAAGTTCAAACAAAAAGATACAATTATTGTTTATTCTCAGAGCCTTTGGTGAAGAGGAATTCTAGAAAGTACAAATAGAAAAGGAATTCTTGGCCAGCAAACTGATACAGGAGAAGTCTTCCAGAAACACATGGTCTGGGATACTTCAGACTCCTGGCAGAATGCAAACCTTTACTGTCTTTTATTAATCAGGATCCAGATCAAGTGTCTCAAAGGAGCCAGGACCTACTTGTGAGACTAGGGTTGAGCTTAGAAATTGAACATCTTCCAACAAACACTCTCATAATAGCAGATATCTTCTCCAGACACCAAATTACTCCGGTCAGCACAAATGTCATTGTCTAAAGAGCCAACATTCTCTAGAAAATAGAACTAAGAATGCTCTTTAGTAACACACGAAATGACAAATTCAATGGTAATTTTGTTCCATAGACTTCCTTCAATCTAAAATGATCTCTACCACAGTCTCAATATCTATCTTACAGGTTTCTACATAGGCATAAACAAGAGGGTGTACAACATAGTACATTGCTATTAGAAAAAAAAAAATTGCTTTAGGTGTATGATTGTGGAAGGAATTTCAACACCTTAGTGGTGAAACTCTGGGATGTTAAACATAAAATACATCTTTCAATATTACTGTTCTAGGTCTACTCCAGTTTAGGTTTGTTCACACTTGAGAGTGGATGAGAAAAATAGACTTTCCTATCAATAACTTTTACAAATATGGTAATAAGCCAACATAAGCAGCAACTAATAAAACAAACAACAAAATCTAGACAAAGGAACAAGCAGAGAGGGGCTAAGATTGTGCAATGTAGTTTAACAAGCCTTTGGTTTAGTTAATGGGAAAGGGAGCAAGGGAAGAGACAGACTAGGGACCATGATACACAGGCTGCTGAGAAGACAGAGAGACACACAGCCACAGCTTTTCATCCTAATAATGGCAAAGACTCTGATAAAACTCCTCCAGGAAAACAAAGATAAGAGGGTGGCCACAGCAGAGCTTGCTTCAAAAGAATGTCACACCTTCTAATATGTCATTTGTAGAGACAAGAGATTTTTGTATTATCTAACAGGGAAGAAATTGCTAGAGTTGTAATAACACAAATTTTTATATAAGTTTTTTTTTTTTTATATATAAGACAGATTTGAAGCCACCACAGTATCTGCAAGTCTTTGCAATGAGTACATTAGCCTTAATGAAGGAGAGTGAAGTGTCAGTGTGAAAGTAAACACAATAAAACAGACTGTTCAGACACAGGACAGTGACAAAGGGAATGATCTAGACAGACAAAAACACACTCCTCATTCATTCCTATCTCTGATTTCTCTGCTTCTCTACTGGTAAAAAAAAAAGGCAGATAGAAATTTTTTAAAAATGACATTACATGTATAATGGTATGCTACTTCAGTTCATCTTCTTAATAGCAATAAGCTATACCTACAGTTTTGCCACTAGTAATTTGATATAAGCCTACATTCAGAGTTCATTTGTCATCTAGTAATCATTTTTGTTTCTTTCTTTAAAGTCTCAATTTAAAAAACCCACTACAGTGTGTTAAAGAACAATATCAAAATTAGATGGTAGAACTCACTTTTGCCTTAAGATGCAGAAACTTAGAATAAGCAAGGATGTTAAGTAGGAAGATAAACAATTTTGTTTGGTGGTGTAGAATGTTAGAAACCAGAGGAAAAACACCCACACATACACATTCAGTCACCACTAAAATAACACATTGTACGTTCCATTGAGTTGTTTGCAATTTATGAGAAGCCTACACAGGTTGCTTTGTCTTCGGTTTTTCACCATCACATTTGATTTGCCAGGACAAGAAGTGCAAGGGGGGGGGGGGGACAATTGTAGGATATGCAGTGTATACTTAACAGTATTTTTCCATTATTATAGTTTTGATTTTGATACTTATATTTTTAAGATTTTCAGGGAATTTGAACATATAAAGAAATTTCCCACAGGAAAAATAAATGAAAAACTGCATGTGTGCATATACCTGTTTTTCTCCGCTTGGCTTTTTGTGGTTCAGTAACAGCTCAACAGCTCCAACGACCTCTTTTCTGATAGCATGTAACAGAGCATCTCCAACATAGACATTGAAGCTTAAGAGTAGTTCAATGAGCTCCAAGTTCTCATTTTCAATTGCAATGAGAAGAGCAGTCCTTCCCAGAGGATCGATGCAATTAATATTGATTTTAAAATAAATTTCAGCTTCTTCTAGGGATTTCTTGACACTGGCATAGTCTCCCTTTTCCACAGCATTCAAGTAGGCTTTCTCTGATGGTGAGAGTTCGGATTCTGCTCGGACTATCCTCAGAGGGATGCGATCTCTGTAGGGGGCATTAACATTTCTTTTGTAATAGAATTGAGCCATGGTTCATGCCATGCTATTTCTTTAACTCTGAAAGCACACACAAAAAACACAAGGGTTAGTGTTAGTATACTTTTAAGTTATTTTGCATCTGAATTCTTTCTCGATTCAAATTTATCAATGACAATACTATTGTTAACTGATGAGGGAAGGTTTTCTTTCCCTTAAACAATGGGAATAGACAATATTTATTCAGCTAACTAAAACACAAGTTCCAAAGTCCTAACCTAAGAGAAATAAAGGGATTGGTATTGGGCAAGTCATTTTAAAAGTTACTCTACAAGTGACATTTAGCAAATATTGCAACTGGACAGCTTTGAAACCTATTTATCAACTTCATCATGAATATAAACAATTTTTCACAAAGCACTTTGAAAATCAGGAGTCATGAGTTCCCCAAATTGGATCAGAGATATTCAAATATATCTTTCACTGCCAGTTTTGCTAATCATGAAGATTCTAGTATAATTGTAGAATACCATTATTTTGTCATTTGTCATACGTTCTGTTCTTAATGTTAATAAGTATTGACACCAAAATTAATACATATTATATTAATAAAATTTCATATTGAATTCAATGAACAAAATTATATATTTTACGTTTATAAATGAATTTATTGAGGGTGAAAGAATGTGTACTGATGATATTATCATGATAAATTAATACAATTAGATTTCTAAAAGCAGTGACTTAGAAAAGGATTAAATAGAGAAAGAAGGTACTATGAAAATGCTATTTGTAAAAATTCTCTCACCTTTATGTTATGACCAATAAACCTGAAAGTAGAAATGTATTTATGATAAAATATAATATTATTTGGAAGTTCTAGGAAAGATATATTTGAATATAAGAAAATTATTTTAAATAAAGTTAATTTTAAGACAAATTAATAGTCACAGGAAGAAATAATTTAGTGTTATCTTAGTGGTACAAATTTACAAACAATACATTAACTACAATAAAGAACTTAAGTGCATTTAATATATGAGAATTTACATATAACTATACACAAAATTATAGTTTATTGAAGTTAGTTCCTCATTTCACACTTGTTATTTGAGCTCTCTTATAGTTCTGTTATTTAAATTTAACATACATATCTATTTACACATAGTTTCCCTGTAAAAATAAAATGAAAAGATTAGTTTAATTACCTAAATAAGCAAATCATATTAATTGCCTTATTTTATGAGTAAATTAACCTGATTTGAATAGTCTTTAACTATAGATTAAATATATATTGTATTAACAAATATGATTATATTTAATGTAATATTTTCATTTTTGGAAATTATTAATTGGTTGTATTTTATCTTAATTTCTTAGTGATTTCAATAATTAAGTGTCACTCTTTGACATCTAGATTATTAGTCATGATTTCTCAAATATCTAGGAAGAGGAGCTAATATACAAAACCATTTTTTGATAATTTGTTCCTCTCTGGCATGTTAGATTTAGCATATTTTAAGGTACCTTCAGAAACTAAGCCAAAAGCAGATGTTCAAAATGTATTCATTTTAAATGTTCAAATTACCAGGGCACAGCCTGGTTATGAATTCAGTATTTAAGGATGTTTTACTCATTCTGGAGTAACAGGAGTAGTATGTATATTACAAATGAATGAGGAGAATTTAACTATCATCTAGTGTCGCTAAAATTAATAAATCAATGTTGTCATGACACTATCTCATTTTAATGATCTCATCCTGACTGCCCCACTTATGCATCAGTAATGCCATTAAAATATTTGTCTTAGAACATCAGTTGTGAGCCATTTCCCCAGAGCCTCTTACCCAGCCCCATGTTTGTTGCATCAGTAGAGTGAGTGGGATCGATGCCAAGGCCTTCACATTGTAGTTTTGCCAGTGCGACAGTCTAGTGGTTCATAATGATAATAACTGACATTCATGTTGTATTTCAGCAGTGTGTATATTCTCTGATATCTCACTGCCCTTCCCTATGACTCTTTTGAAAAAAATACAAAAAAAAAATTTAAAGGCTGAATTCAAGATTTCTTGCTTGCTTGACAAAGTGTTTGAAGGCATTTTACCCAACATACAGGTTAAAATGAACTTGTATGCACATTCCCACCCCCATACACAGACACAGACACATACATCATGTCAAAATTTCATAAGAATAATAATTTTATCAATATCAGGAGGCAGTCTAGAGAATGGAAAAACTGCATTTTATTTAGTTTACTTCGTTTCATTAATGATGCTACCAAACATTAGGGTACAACATTTCACCCCTTCATTTCAAAATACCAGATGTCAGTGATAATAACAGATTGATGGGCAGAATAGCAAGCACTAGAAATCTTGAGGGTGGAGAGGGAGAATTTAGACTTCATTAAAATCTGTTTCATTTAAACTAGATAATTCCCATTAACGTATACAACATAAGTATATATTTAAAAGAGCAATACTCTAGTCAACATTGTATTTAAGAGGTGGGCATGAGATGTCATGTTGAATATCCTATCTCTCCATCTATAACATGGGGAAGTCAGTGCTTGGCAGGAATAGGTGAAGGGTGAGAATCAAAAGTGAGTGCTGAGAAAGGTCTTTTATTAACTCAAGTGACCTCTGTCAATCCTTGGATTTGGGAAAAAAAAGAACTTAGACTAGATGGATTTGAAATATATTTCAAATTCACATATATTAAATAAATAACATTAAAATATTTACAACAGAACATTAAAACAGAGAGAGGGGGGAGAGAGAGAGAGAGAGAGAGAGAGAGAGAGAGAGAGAGAGAGAGAGAGAAACTGGTGGCTAAAATCTTAAAAGAATAAGGAAATTATACAATTTGTTATTTTACATAGACTTGTCCTTGATTACTTGAGATGCAGGGATACTTAAAAAACAAGTTTAACATTTTAAAATTGCTCTCTGAATGCACTAGCAAGTGAAAGGTGCCAATAAGTGCTGGATTCCCTGGGCTGACACGCTTATCAGCAGCTAGAGGATTGTTCCAGGATGGGAAGCTACAAAAGAACCTGGGACTGACTGTAAAAAATATCTTGACCTAAAATGTTGAAATAAAAGCCTGTCCTTGTCCCACACTTTCAGAAAGAACTTTCTGGAGTAAAAAAAAAAAAAAAATTCCCCATAAGATTATAGAATTTAATGGATCTTGCCATTTTATTGGCCTTTTCTAAAATCAAGAATGAAGCAATTCATCAAGTTGTTTCAAAGTCTCAGAAAACAGACAGGAAATGATGGGAGATGGGGAAAAACTCAGATCCTGAGATGTGGCTTTTTCTATATTCTAACATTTATTTCCCCTAAATAGTTAATGAATTGAAAAAAAAATGTGGAGAGAGCTACAATTTGACACTGATTTCAAGAGAAATTCTAAGAATTGCCACTAAGTATAAAAATCACAAATATCTAATAGAAAGCTATACAAGGAAATAAACAATTCTAGATATGTATGTACATCTGAAGAAACATTCCCTAAATAATCTTCTGACTTATGGCAGTGGTAAGAGCAGTGAATTTGAGTTTTGAAGAACTCAAATAAAATATATAGAAATATTCCCTTTTTTATATACATTGTTAATAGTAAAATAAATTTCCTCCATCATATTTTTCTTCCTTTTCTTCCAAGGTTCATTATCAAAAGAAGTGTTCATAGATGTGAACTCATGATGCAGTGATAAATAATAGCTACTGTTTGTTTTTAGGGTACTATTACTCATAGCTTAAGTTTTATTTATACATTTTCTGGAGTCTGATATGAAGTAGAAACAGCAGCAAAAATACTTGACTAATTAAAATATTATGACAGCTTAGGATTTCAAAGGGGGAAATCGGGATTAATCATTTTATTCTAAAAATGAAAGCCCCTTAGAGTTCAACAGAGACCAATCTTTATTCACTAATCATCCCCAATTTTTAATATACATATTGAGGAGGATGGCACAGGAAGGGCAAAACTATTTTTTTAAAGAGAGAGAGAGAGAGGGAGAGAGAGAGAATTTTAATATTTATTTTTTAGTTTTCGGCGGACACAACATCTTTGTTTGTATGTGGTGCTGAGGATCGAACCCGGGCCGCACGCATGCCAGGCGAGCGCGCTACCGCTTGAGCCACATCCCCAGCCCCAATTCTTTTTAATAGGTGCTTTTTAATCTCCTGGCATTTATAAAACATATTTTGGAAAATATATGTGCCATTCAAAGTTTGAATGTCCCCCCTGACAGCCAGGATGTATGTATCAGTCTACCTCTTTTTTCTCTGCAGTTTCAAAGGAAACAGTGTTCATTCTCCTCTCACTCCAGCTGCCAATCCCACTGTTCAAGAGTTCATGCATTCCTGTCTTCCTAAACCTTTGCATTATTCTTCTGTTTTCATACTTTAAAATTCTGCAACATGATTCCTTCCCCATCAGTCAAAAATTCTCCCATAAATATATTTTCATTTTAATCATCTTTAGCACTCTCTCTTTGTTGCTATCTCTGATATTCTTTATAAACTTTAGGACGATTTCCATTGAAGTTCTTTATTGTTTCTAATATGGTATTTATCCTATTCACGAACAATATTTTTCTTTTATTGTATCCTGCCATTTTGCACTTTTCAGCCCCTGTAATACACAAGTTTTCAGGAATCTCTAGTAATTATGTGCTCTGAATTGGAACTTGCCTCGTGCTGGGTTCCAGGTCATCCTTCCTAAAAGTCTCACCTGCTGTCTCTATAAGACCTTTCCCTAGTAATTCACGTGGACTCCCTTTCTTCCATCTATAGCTGAATGTTGGTCTTACCAGGATTCTGTGTGTGGCTCTTAATCTATCACTGTCCTTATTCCTACCCAATACTGTATTTTTAAATGTTACATGAAACCCACACACATGCTTTAAAATATACTATTAAAAAATCCCATGTTGCTAGACCACACCTTTCTCTCAAGTTCTGTATCAATGCTGTTCAGTATGGTAACCATCACACATGTGTGGCCATTTAAATATAAATAAACTTTAAGTAATATTAAGAATCATTTTTTTGTGTCTCACTGGC